GCACCTAGGCAGCAAACCTCCACCATTGCTGGGATCACAGGCATGCATGCACCTAGGCAGCAAACCTCCACCATTGCTGGGATCACAGGCATGCACCTAGGCAGCAAACCTCCCATTGCCCCCATGCCACTGTCACCCCCTGGGGTCTTTGTTTATTCCTGCTAGTTTTGCCATCATGACACAAATACTCCAGAATGACAGTAAATATTCTGAGCATTGACCCTATGCAGATCCAGGCCCTCACAGGGACCCCAGCTAGGGCTCTACAACCAGGGCTCTGCAGTTACCATCATTTGCAAATGAGGAGTGCTCAGAGATCAGCCTAGAGCTCATCTCTTGTTTAAGGTAACAGCTGATAAGGGACCGAGTCCAAGACTTTACATCTGTATCTGATTCCAGAGCCCACATCTGCCCCAAAGCTGGAAACCTCAGGCCAGAGGGGCCTTATCAGCCTTGCTGTGTGACTTAGCATAAATCACTCACCCTTGCTGAGTCTGTTTCCTTGGGAAAGTGGTGTCGGGGGTGTGCCTGGGGGTCACCTAGGAGTCAAGGGATTCTGGGATTATAGCAATGGGAGTTGGCCCACCCCACCCAGGCTCAGATGACCAGTCCCAATGGCCTGAGTACCCAATCAGGGAGGCCTTGGATCAGGCCATAAGTGGGCACGAGGAGGAAAGCTGCCTCCCTGGCTTTGTTTATTGTCTGGAGGCTAGGAATATTTTGAATTGTTGTGTTTAGGAAGGGAGGGGAAATACCCAAATATAAGAAGGCAGCCTCAGAGAGGCTCCAGCAAGAATGTGGAGGAATTAGGGCAGAGGAAGCGGGCCTGCCTGGGTATGTCTGGGCAGCTATGATGTCATAGGGTTATAGCACCCGTGGGCCAAGGCTTCTGGGTCCCGAGGAGCCATTCACACTATTTGGAGAGCTTATTTAACAATTATGTAAACCAAACACTTAGGAGGCAGGAGGATCGCTGTGGGTTTGAGGTTAGCCTGGGATGCATGAGATCCTGTCTAAATATGTAAAAAGAAATAGTTTCACACTCAGTTAAACTGGAATTTCTGGTGAGGAGGAGAAATAGACATCAGCATTTCTTTTTCTTTTTCGTTTGTGTTCTGTTTTTCGAGACAGGGTCTCTCTTTGTAGTTTTGACTATCTTGGATCTCTCCATGTAGACCAGGCTGGCTTGAACTCCCTTGAGATCCTGCCTGCCTCTGCCTCCCAAGTGCTGGGATGAAAGGTGTGCGCACCATCATGCCTGGCAGGCACTAGGTCTCTTTTCTGTGGTTCTGAGGATGGAACCCAGGGCCTCCAGCAAGCATTCTACTATTGAGCTCCAGCCAGCCTTGTGTCAGGGTTTCTTAAACTATCCAAGTGACTGCTGCTATGAGCTGCCAAGGTAAAGAGCACCTGCAGAGGGGCTGGAGAGATGGCTCAGTGGTTAAGAGCACTGACTGCTCTTCCAGAGGACCGGGTTCAATTCCTAGCACCCACATGGCTACCCTCACCTGTCTTTAGGGCACACAGACATATATGCTCGTCCTGGTATTAATTTCCAGCATCCACATGGTGCTTTTGCCCTCTTTGGTACCAAGTACACACGTAGTGCAAATACATACATGCAGGCAAACTACTCTGATCAGTGGGACCAACCCTCCACATGCACCCTAGTTTTAGAGGTAGGAGGTCTGGGTGGAGCCTAGCACCCTGCTTTTCATCCCAGCTCCTCCATATTTTGGCTTGGGCTAGTCTCTGAGAACCCCTTCCTGCATCCCTGAATCCAAGCGGCCCGAGAAGCCTTCCTTGGCTTGGGTCCCTCTGTACCCCAAGATAGAGAGAAAATAGGGAATCTCTGCCCACTCACAAAACAGGACCCAGGCTGGGGCACAGGGGACTCGGGACAATGGGCAGGTGGCTATCTGAGAAGCCAGGCAGGAGACCAAGGAGCTGAGATCTAAGGGGGTCACCCTGAGAAGGGCTGCGGGGCAAGTGCCCTGCACCGGGAGCAGGACTGCAAAGACTCTGAATCAGGGGTGCCCGAGTCCTGAGTGCCTGGGAAGATGAGTGTGTGTGTTTGTGGGGGTTCCGTCTCATGGGCCTCCAGGAGCATGGGACTGCACAGAGCATGACTCAAAGCCAGAAGTAGGCCTGAATGGATCTGGGAGCCTTTCGTTTTGGATTTTACTGAGGTGTATGTGGTCCCTTGGTATCTGTGAGGGATTAATTCTGGGGGATACCCCCTCCACAGTACCAATATTTTAAAAAGAAATTTAGTAGTATTATCATCTCTCTCTCTCTCTCTCTCTCTCTCTCTCTCTCTCTCTCTCTCTCTCTCTCTGTGTGTGTGTGTAGGTCAGAAAAAAACCTTGTAAGATCTTTTCTCTCCTTCCACTTTCATGTGTGGATCAGGGATGGAACCCAAGTCTTCAGGCTTGGTGGCATGCCTTCCCTCTATCTACAAATGTTTGAGCCCCTTGTGTGAAGTGGTGATGAGGTGGCGTTTTTGTGATGTTGGCCCCTTCCCTGAACACTGAGTCAGCTCTAGATGGGCTGTGGCGGTCTCCCTGCAGGGCGCTTGCTTAGCCTGTGCCAGACCTCGGTTCTAATAGGTGTTGCCAGAAAATGATAACTGTAATAACATAATACTCTGTGGAGGCTGCGTTAACAGTTATCCTACCGAATGTTTCAGGGAATAATAACAAGGAAAATTTCTGTATATGTTCAATATAAATACAATTTTTCCTTAATTTTTCTTTTTAATAGATAAAGTCTAAAGAAGCCCAGACTGGCCTAGAACTCTTCATATAACCCAGGATGACCTTGAACTTGTGATTCTCCAACCTCCTAGGTGCAGAGATTAAAGGCATGTGCCACCAAGTCCAGTTTATAGAGTGTTGGGGACTAAACCCAGGGTTTTGTGAGTTCTAGAAAACAGTACTACATTCCCAGCTAAAGGCAGTCCTTTTTCCTTTGCTTAACATTGGTTTTTAAAGGTTTGTTTTATTTGTATTTATGTGTACATATGTGTGTCTGTGGGTGGGTATGTGCTGGTGCTGCAGAAGGAGACAAGAGGGTACCAGGTCCCCTGGGGGTGGAGCTGCAGACCCTGTGAGAGTCGCTTGATGTGGGCACTGCGAACTGAACTCCCCGGGATTCTTCAGAGCGGTGTTCTCTCTTTAACCACTGAGCCGTCTCTTCAGCCCCTTGGCTTAATATTTTGATCCCTAACTGGATAGGAGGAAGAACGGGGTGGGGGTGGGCACTGCAGTATCAAAGACCAGTGTGCTGCCACTGCAGTAAGCATTCAGACGAGCACATCTAGCACTCGTGCGGCCTCCTCAGGCCAGGCTGCCGAGTCCACCCTCCCAGGGTACTCCGGTCCCACAGCTCTGCCGCTCCCCTCCCTCAGGCAGCCCTTGCTCTCGGATCCCCAGGCTGATTTTCCATATAAATGAAACCACAGGGAGTCTGGCTTCTCTCACCCAGGGTGTTCCGAGCTCCCTCGTGGTTCTGCGCATCCCAGGAGTCCTTTTGCGAGAGCTGCAATCACTCTGCTTCTATTTTCCTGTTGATACAACCCGGCTGTTTCCATTTTTAGCTGCCATGAATTGTGCGGCCATTCACATTCTTGCACAAGGGGGTAGGATTCTGAGTCTCAATACTTGGGTGTGGGGTGGTTTGCTCAGAAGCCAAGAGTTCAGCCTCACTTGAAATTTCTCACGTTATCTAAAACTGCCGAGCTGTTTTCCAGAGTGGTGGTGCCCTCCTATGTTCTCAACTGGGAGTGGAGATGGGCTAGGGGTGGGAGAAGGCCAGGAATAAGCAGGCCCCTGCAATCGAGCTGGCGCGGCCTTGCAGCGATGTGTACTAGCTTGCTTGTGAGTCCCTGGTCCCTTGCAGCTCTGCCACTCGCTCGACACCTTCCCTCTCTGGCTCTGGGGCAGTCTGCTCCCTCAGAGAGAGGAGGAAGTAGGGCTTAGGGACTTACCTCCCCAAGACCACATCCGGCAATGGTTTCCCATGCTCCTTTGCGCTGGCTGCATGCAGGGCACTGCTAGGGAGCCTGCCTCCTGGGTGCTTCCTGCTTGGAGCTCCAGCTTTGGCTGAGTCCCAGGCTGCAGGAGGCCAGTGGGCAACATGCTTTGGGTAGGGAAGAAACAGCATGAGTGAAGGCTCTGAAGTGGGAAGGCCCCGGGCACACGGGCATGTGGGTAGGAGGAGCATTTCCACATGCCCAGGGGTGGACGGTGCCAGAGACCCTGCTCAGTGCTTCCCATGAATTATCTCCACAGGACCCTCACAGCAGTCTTGGGGGGAACTGGTGTTCTGTTTGGTCTGGCTGTGCAGATCAGGACACACAGGCCAGGAGGGGACCTGGGATTTGCAAGCAGGCAAGAGGAAGGCAGGTAGGCAGGACACAGGTTCCTGAGAGGCAGGGTACTCTGATCGGGTTCTATGGTGTGACCACTGGCACATTGCTGGACATGTGGACACACTGGAGAGGGGGTGCCTAGGAGAAAGTGATGTGGCTGGGAAAGGGACCACTCACCACCTAACAGCCCTGTTTGTCTTTTCAGGGTTATAATGGAGAATGGTGCCCTGAGTCCTGTGAGCTGGCCAAGATGATCCTCGATCCTCTGCAGAGCTGGTGCCAAGTGGCCTTCCCCAGCCGGCCAGATGGCCCAACATGTGCAATACCTCCCTCAGCATTGTGACTACTCTTGATGACCTGACAGATAGGACAGGAGCTCCTCTGGCAGGGTCAGGAGGTTTTGTTCAAAGCCCCGGATCGATTTGATGTCACTATTGAGAGCTGCTGAGTAATGTACTCCCAGTGGCTTTTTACAAACCGCGTTCACCGCTGTGAGTTAACAACCGCGGACCAAAAGCCCAAATCCTGGCCATCACCCTGCGCGTGTCCCTAGGAGCTCTGCCTGAACATCGATTTTTCATTCCTGAAATGAGTTGGTCCCATTGGAACGTCGGCCAGTATTTGGCTCATGGAAGGAACTTCTGTCTGGCTTTCCTTGAAGGGCCTCCTAAGCGCCAATGTTTTTGGTGCCTTGTGTGCCCAGCAGCTCTCTCCGATTCTCCCAGCTCCCGCCTCTGGCCTGGGTCTGGGTTCCCAGCTCAGACCTCCTACAGGACCAGCTGGTGACATGGAGACATTGACAAACTAGGAAGTAACTGTGATATCTCTGGGGGGTTCGTGCTCTTCAGTGCCAGATAGCTGTGGACAGGTAGGTGATGGGCTAGCAGGCAGCCTATTCTGACAGCTTTCAAGAGAATCTAAGTTTCCTTTTTTTAAAGCTTCCCCCCCCAGCATTCATTCATTCATTCATTCACTCATTCATTCAATGTGTGTGGGGGCACCACAAGGTGTATAGAGGTCAGAGGACAACTTCTATGAGTTGGCTCTCTCCTTCTACCATATAGGTTCTGGAGATCCAACTCAGATCGGATCTCTTTTGTAGCAATTGCCTTTACCTGTTGAGCCAACTTGCTGGCCCTATTGTTTTGTTTTGTTCTTGGAGATAGGATCTGATTAAATTGTGGCCAATGCTCCTGCCTCAGTCTTTTCAGTGCTGGAATCATAGGTTTATTTATTTATTTTAGAGTGTGTGTGTGTGTGTGTGTGTGTGTGTGTGTGATGCAGGTATGTGCATGCGCACAGGAGTGCAGTGTCCTCAGAGTCCAGAAGAAGGTATCAGATCCTCTGGGGCTGGAGTGCAAGGTGGTTGTGAGCTGTCTGATATGGGAGATGGAAACTAGACTCTGGTCTTCTGCAAGAGCAGTTTGAACTCTGCTGATCTAGGATCTTACATAGCCAAGGCTGGACTTGAACTCCTGATCCTCTGCCTCCTATGTGCTGGGATTACAAGTGTGTACTGTTGTGTCTGCACAAATTATTCGAGACAGTCTTCCTATGTAGTCCTAGCTGGCCTGAAATTCACTGCATCACCAGGATGGCCTCAACTCACAGAGATTCACCTTCCTCTGCCTTCTGAGTGATGGGCTCAAAGGTGTGCGACACCATGCCTGGATTGAAATTTTATTATTATTTTGTTTTTTTGAGACAGGGTTTCTCTGTGTAGCCCTGGCTGTTCTGGAACTCGCTCTGTAGACCAGGTTAGCCTCTAACACGGAGATCCACTTGCCTCTACCTCCCTAGTGCTGAGACTCAAGGAATGTACCATCACTCCACAGCCTGAAATGATTTGTTTTAAAGAGACACAGTGTCCCTATCTCATCAGGCCAGCTCCAAACTCCTGGGCCCAGCAGTCCTGGCCAACAGCTGGTGATACAGGTGTTTGTTTATGCAAAATCACCTCAATTTTGATGCATGGCAATGAAACACACACCACAATGGATGAAGCCCTGTGCAGGCAAAGCATCTGGAGCTGGATTTAGTGCAGGCTGCCCCGCTTGAGACTTCTGACTGCTCTGAGAGTCCATGGTCTCTCACATGCTGAGCTCATGCTTCATGCCTGACTGACCTGCTGCACCCACAGCCTAGGGCTGGGTTCTCCCAAAGGCCCCTGGAAACAAACAGATGGTCTAGGTTTAGATTCCAGCTCTGTGATTCATTGGCCAAGCATTCCCAGGCCAATTATTTTCTCTATGGCTCAGTTTTTCCTTCTGTAAAATGGGAGAAATAGCAGCGCTGAGCTCACAGGGATGCTCTGGCAAGGGGGCGGTCGAATCTGTGTTCACGAAGTGAATTCTGCCAGCCATGAAAGTGCTACAGAAAGGAAGCTAAACAAAAATAAATATAGCAAGTGAGGTGACCCAAGTGGCATTCAGCTGTGACCCCAGCTACCCAAGGGCTCTGCAGCAGGATGACTTGAGCCCAACCATTTGGGGGCAGGCTAGGCAATGTAGTGGTGTCCCTATCTCAAAATATAATAAATAAATACGAGCACTTTCTCTGCACCATGCCCGTGAAGCCTTGTGCACTTGATAGAGTCAAGGACCAGATCTCATGGCTCACAGAGCTGGCATTGCGGAAGGAAAGGTGGATGGGTTCCTGAGCTGCATCCCACCACTCTTCCTAGCCATCACTTGTGTGATGCTGTGTGGGTCATTCTGAGGTTCAGACCTCCATAAGAGACTTTCCAGATTTCATCCCTGGACGTGCTATGCCACTGGGGCCTCCATTGCCCTGACTGCCTGCACAGTCCCGTGACAAGGCCTTTGCAGCCTTGCAGCCCTTGCTTCCTCTGCCCCCTCCCCCCACCACCCAGGCCCCTCCATCTGCCCAGTGGCCCTGGGCTTCCTCAAGTGTGCACTGGGTTCAAACTTCAGCCACTTCCCTACCCTCTGACCTGCCCCTTGGCCTTGGCACTTTGCGCTGTGGGTAGTGACAAGTGAGCCTGGAAAGTGGGGGATGATTTTTTTTTTGGGGGGGGGATGGGGTAGGGTTTCAAAACAGGGTTTCTCTGTGTAGCCCTGGCTGTCCTGGAACTGGCTCTGTAGACCAGTCTGGCCTTGAACTCAGAGATCCGCCTGCTTCTGTCTTCTGAGTGCTGGGATTAAAGGCGTGAGCCACCACTGCCCACCTAATTTTTTTTTTAAGTTTAGGTATGTAGTCCAGGCTCACCTTGAACTCCTGATGCTCCCGAGTGCTAAGATTATAGGAGTGTGCCATCCCACCCACTGTCTGGAGTTCCTTCTCTCTCCTCTGGCCTCAGTTTTCTCTCCTGTACAGGGGTGTGTTCATAAAAGCAGCAGCAGAAGCTACCTGGGTCTTTGGGTGTGCTCCTGGACTACAGACAGGAGGGACCACTGTGTAGATTGGCTGGAGGTGGTCTTGGGGGCACCTCCCGGGAGGACAAGCTGAAGCCCAGGGGCAGGGGGCCTGGATGAGGCCTGCTAGAGAGGAAGTCCCCTTCTGTTATTTGGCTTCTTGATGTCTTGTGCCAGCCTAGGACAATGGGCTCAGGCTGGCCAGGTCGGGGCCTTTATTCTCAGTTTAAGAGGCAAAAGGCTAGGTGTGCTAGCTAACAGCCGCTTGTGTGCAGCCAGGGTGGCGAGGAAAGCAAAGGAAGTGGGCACTCAGAGAGGGGCAGGCCTTAGTGAAGGTCACACAGCGCCACCTCGGGCTCAGCCAGGTTGTGGGTGTGTACTGTCAGAAAGAGGACCCGCTCATTCAAATAAGGGCAAGAAGAAGGGCACACTCCCCATCTCCATTTAAAAATAGTCACATTTGCTGACACTTGTTTGGCACTTCCTAGGTGCCGGGTGCCCTGTTCAGGCCATTTACACTGTTAACCTTGGGTCCTCCCAGCAGCCCAAAGTGATGAGTTCCACTATTTTTATTTCCGTTTTACAGATGAGGAAACCAAGACACAGAAGGTCTGAGGAACTTGCCTGAGGTCACACAGCCAGGACGAAGCCAAGAGCGTTACAAAAGCACAGCTTCATGTGGACCGGGGGGCTTGGCTCTGGTGATCATTTCCACAGCAGCTCAGCCAGGCTCGCAGAGCTGCACACTGGCCAGGAGGTTGTAGGGGAGGAGGGAGAGATTCTGGCACCGACCTAGCAGCTGCAGCAGCCCCAGGCCTCATCTCCAGAGCTAGGTGGATGTGCTAGAGAACGTTGTGATGTGGTCGTGGCTATCAGGACAGGAGATGAGCCAGGGGTCTGGGTCTCTAGCTCCTCAATCGCCCGCAAGAGGGGTCTGAACAGTGCCATTGGCCACCAGCCTTTCGATAGAGCATGAGGATGGGTGCGCGCGCTCGACGAGGCGAGCTCGGGCTCTTTGTGTGTCCGAGCTCGTGCGCGCGTGCGTGCATGCGTGTGTGTGTGTGTGTGTGTGTGTGTGTGTGTGTGCGCGTGTGTGTGTGTGCTTGTGTGTCCCGCGTGTGGGCGTGACCAAGAGTCCAGGCCCCGCCCCAGGCCCCGCCCCAGGCCCGGCCAAGCTGGTATTTTTCCACCCAGCAGGATGGGTGATGCGGAGAGCTGCCTGTTCAGACAACAGACACGCGAGGTCAGGGAGAAGCCGCTTATAAATTACCGCTTCCTCCGCGCCGCCGCCAGCGTCGTGCTCCGGGACCTGCTTGCAGTCGAGCTCCAGTGCCCAGCCGCCAACGCTGCGATCGCCACCAGCCCCGCCAGTCCCTCCAGTCCTGGGCCATCCGCCGTGGGCTTAGCCACCCAGGTACCCAGGGCGCGCGGGCCGCGACTGCAGCCCCCTCCCCGGGCCGCGCTCCGCCACCTCCCCGAGTCCCTGCAGGTCTGGCCTCCCCGCGTTCCGCCATCCCTTTCACCACCGGGGGTGGGGAGTGGGGGGGCACCGAGGGTCTCCTGCTCAGCCCCGCTGACGAGGGGAGTTATTGTTTCCTTGGCGAAGGGGCTGGGGCTGCTGGTGCGGCGGCAGGTGTGTGTGTGTGTGTGTGTGTGTGTGTGTGTGGTGTGTCCCACGGGGTGTCTCCTTGTCCCTGAATGTCTGTTTCTGAGGGTGACTGTTTCTCCACCCCAGGCAGCCGTGCACATGTGCGCCTCAGGGTGTGTGATGCTCCCTGTGTCCTGGGCTGTTATACCTGCGTGTAGTGTGGTCGTGTGGCTCTGTCTCCTGATGTGCGCTCTTGTGTGTCCCTATATATGTCTTGTCTGTGTGAACCTACGTGTGGTTGTGTCTCCTGTCTCCGGAACCCTAGCCGTAGGCACGTGTGTGCCCCTGAATGCAGCTATCTCTGGGTCCCTGGTGGTGGACAAGTCTGGTGTCTTTTAGCTGTGCCTGAGAGGGCATCCCTTGTGCCCAGTGGACCCAATGGTCATCTTTAGCTCTCCGTAGTATTTAGGAGAGGTGAGAGCGAGGTATGGCTCCAGGTGCTGCCTGGGTGTGGCATGCAGGTAGCAGTGACAGCCGCCCCCAGGCTTGAGTAGCAGGACTGAGGCCAGGAGGGACAGCCAGGGGCAATGGCCAGTGGATCGGCTGGACACATCTTCCTCTAGACTTCACCCCTTCCCTTTGTAGGTTCCTCTTTTGGGTGGGAGGTTCTAGTCCGCTCCCACTGGGTAAGCCACACAAGGAGCTAGTCTCAAGAACAGGTCCTACAGCCCCAAAGCCTCAGCCTAGACTAGCCTGGCCGCAAAGGAGGCGTGTGCTAGGCAGGGCCACGGACCTGGCTATTTTGGTCACTGCCGGGCCTCTGCCAGAGCCCTGCCTCCCCCAGGACCAGCCCCAAAGGCTTGGGAGACAGCCTGGGCCCCCGTTTCCTGCCTGGGGAAATAAATCATCTCAAAGACTGGCCAGGCTCTTGACCCAGAGGGTCTTTGGACTGCGGTTTGGTAGCACGTGGCTCCATTTGGATGTCAGTAAATTGGCCTCTGATTTGGCACAGCTGGATTTCAAATAAATGTCATGGAGATCTTTTTTAAATTAAAAAAAAATTTTTTTTTTGTTGGCTGGTAGGGAGGGGATCTCACCCAGAGTCTCTAAGCCAGAAGGAGTTTATTTTTATGAGAGAGCGGGTGAGCGCTTAGCAACCGCCTGCCTGCCTCCCTCTCTACCAGGGAGTCATCGGGGAATGGGGGGTGAAG